TGATACTGGTCACATGGGTTCTTGTTGCTCAATGCCCCATATATGTATCGACTGGTCAGATCACTCTTAAAACCTCTCCAGCGTTCCCCAGCATATGAGATCCACTTTGTCCTCAACAAAGTGGTGTTAGGGACATCATATGTGACCTACACAATAAAAATAACATGAAGTTCCCAAAAAAAGTTAAATATATATACATGTTAAATGCTCAAGTAAGAGTAGGTACCAGGATACTCTGCCAAATCTGGTTCTTCAGTGTCTCTGGAACATGGTCCCAATCCTCAATAAGAATACTAACCTTGCTTCTCCCAAGCAAGGCCACATAGCTAGTGAATCTAGCACTGTGCTCTCCAGTGGCTCTACCAGTTTGCATGTCAAACTGGATAGGCAATTTCTGATCGGAGCTGCGACTGATATTCAACTCCCTCAACCGTGTAGCACGCCTACCCTTTTTCCTGGTAGACGGCTGACTCTGATCACCACCTTGTGTAGGAGGGGGGGACTGTGTAGGAGGAGGGGTACCAGATGAATCTGCCATATCTGTGTTCAAAGAAAAAAATAATAGTTATTAGTTTAGACAATATGACTGAAGATAAACAAAAAAGTGCATACATTAAAAAATAATACATTAAAAAAATTTCATACATTATCAAGTTGGAGCATTCTCCCAAAATCCTTCCATATGGTCATAACGGATGACATGCACATCATCTATTTCTACATTAACACTCAAGTTTGGCATATTTAATGTTCAAATGACTAATGTTCAAATGACTACAGAAACACATTCAAATGACTAAACTACTTACAATACATCTCTAAATTAGCTAAAGGCACCCGTGATGTTTCCCTCTCTTGACAGCATTATTACTTACTAGATTCAATACTGTAAACCTACATTGGCTAAAGCAAGCACGAAATCTTACCTCTTGAAGACCTACAGAGGTGGCAGGTGGCGTGACGTGCAGAGCTGGGTGGGGAGAAACGTATCCCAGGCGACGGGCACCAGTAGCAGCAGGCGGCACGAAGCGTTGGCAGGTGGCGTGACGAGCAAATGTGGGTGCGGAGAAACGTATACAAGCGAACGGGGGAGCTCTGGTATGGGTGAACTGATGAAAGGAAATGGAACGTAGGGAGAAACGTACAGGGGAGCTCTGCTATGGGGGGGGAGTGATGAAATGAAATGGAGTGCGGGAGGAGCAGAAGATACTATGTCGGTTGCCCTAACACCCGTCATCAAAGACACTTTCTACGTCGGTTAAAATTTACCCGGCATAGAAAGTTCACTTTCTACGTCGGGTAAATGTTACCCGACATAGAAAGTGAACTTTCTATGTCGGGTAAATTTTAACCGACGTAGAAAGTGAACTTTCTATGTCGGTTAAATTTTACCCGACATAGAAAGTGACCTTTCCACTTACTATGTCGGTTAAAACTTACCCGACATAGAAAGTTTATGATTTTATTACAAAATTGCCACCGCGTCACATACTATGACGGGTGGATTACGACCGTAATAAAAACCCGTCATAAAAAGCTATTTTTCCACTAGTGTATAGGAAGAGCCCGCGATGGGAGAGGCACAAAGAGGGGGTTACTGACTTTGTGGTGGAGCACGAACCACTAGAAAGAGAGGAGGGGAAAGTAGAGAGTGAGGTAAGAGACAGAAGAAGAGAAGAGAGAAAGAAGAAAAACAATTTCATACAAGAAACAAAATATTTTGTATAAAAGAGGAAAAATATAATGTTATAAAAGATTTTTACATAGATTACAACATATCTGATGTTAGATTTGCTTTTTACATTGATTACAGTACAATTAACATAGAAAATTTGTTCTAAATTACAAGTTTACCAAAAAAAATTATATTGGTTTCTTTATAATCAATTTAAATAATTTTGTTAAAAACTATTTTTTGTAATAAATTTATAAAAATATGTGATTTTTTTTCGTATCTAAATTTAATAACTAGTAACAATTTTTACGCGTTACACTACAAGAAAATCGCATATTACCAGACGGATATTTACAGACGGATATTTACGGACGGAATTGTAGCCGTCGGAAAATAATCATTACGAACGAAAATTACGACGGATATAAAATATTTGTGAAATTTGATGTTACAGACGGATATATCCGTCGGTAAAATAATAATTAGTTACGTACAGATATATCTGCTAGATAAACCGTCGGTAATTTATAGATGAATTTACCAGACGGATATATCGGTCGGTAAATCCGATCGATAAATTAACAAGTAATTATCGACGGATATATCCGTCGGTAAATTCATATGTAAATTAAAAATTATTTACACGACGGATAAATCGTCGGTAAAATTATATAATATAATTTAATTATTCACTAATTAAAAAATAAAATATTTTTTATTTAATAATTTAATTTAATCATAATTAGATTAATTTATAATAATTTATTAAATTAAGTAATTTTAAAAATAAATATTTAATTATATATAAATATATATAATATATATATATATATATATATATAAATATATAAAAATATAAAAATATAAAAATATATAAAAATATATAAATATAAAATATATAAATATATAAATATATAAATATAAAATATAAATATATATAAATATAAAATATAAAATATAAAAATATATAAATCTATATAAATATATATAAATATATAAAAATATATAAAAATATATAAAAATATATATATATAAATATATATAAATATATATATATATAAATGTATATAAATATATATAAATATATAAAAATATATAAAAAAATATATATAAATATATATAAATGTATATAAATATATATAAATATATATAAATATATATAAATGTATTTGTATATTTGTATATAAATATAATTTATTTGTAAATTGTTATCAAGAAATTCTAGTAGCTTAGTGGTTGGAGTATCGACTCTCACTTAAGGTCCTGGGTTCAATCACTGCCAATGACATTTCTCTTAATCTGACAATAATTCAAAGTTATAAAAATATAATATGGAGAAATAATTGAAATAATTAATAATAAATAATAAGAATATAAGGGGAGGGGTTCTATAAAAAAATAATGTTATAAATAAGTAAAATATTTAATAATTAATAAAATTATTACCGACGGATCCGGATCCGTTGGTAATTTCGATTCATATTTACCGACGGATTTATCCGGTCGGTAATATTTACCGACAGCGAATTTCCGACGGATTTTTGACCGTCGGAATTCCGTCGATAATATTCATTTACCGACGGATTTTTGTTATTACCGACGGATTTTGACCGTCGGTAATTTTAATATTTCTTGTAGTGTTATAAAATTCTTAAAAATAAATAAATTCATATTTTAAAAAATATGATTAATTAATTAAATTTTAATGAAGAGAATAACCAAAATATATAGTCCTGAAAGCAATAAATATTTAGCCGTATATACTAAAAGAAAGTAAAAGGGGAATGATTGGAAGGCTAGAATGTCTTGTAATTAATTTGACAAAGCAAAGTTGTTCAAACGGTTTTTCTCTTCTTCTTTTTTTCATATTTTCAGATATTAATATGTATTACTGTCTATTGGATTTTTTTTTATAATGCATTAAAATTTAGTATGAATACAATTTAAATAATACAGTACTACTAAAGCGAAATATACCATAATAAAAATCTTGAGGTTAAGAAAAAGTCATGAGTATGAGTTAATAGGAGGAGGGAATGGAAAATAGAGTAGAGATATTTTGAATTAACAAAAAATTTGGTTGCATGTAAAAACATTTTAGGTGGGAGAAAAAGAAAAGGAAAAGACAAGGACAACATTAAAATGAAAAAGACAAAGGGTCTCAACTTTTATACATGGATAGAATTTTATTTTTCTCAAGAGGTGGCCAAATAATTATTTCATATCTTTTATACCACATTTTCTATTCACCATTATATGTACAACATTTTCAAAAGTCCTTTCAATGATAGATATATTTGTTTTGTCTTCTTAAAAATTAGCAAAGTAAATTGTCTGGGTCTTTCTCATTTTAGGGTTAAGTTAGAGCATTTTCCAGTGATGCTATTATGTACGACTATGGAGTATATATGGACCATTTAAAGCAGAGTCCATATCTTCCCCTATTATTTCCTTTACCTACTAACTATATTATATGTTATCCATATGATCATAGAAATACCCAAAACAAGCACGAGAAGGGATTAATCTTATAATTAAGATCCTGAATAATGGGTTTGAAGTTTGAAGCATCTGTCGTATAGTGAGAATGTGGGGTTTGGTGAGCTGGCCATGCATCGGATTCAAGTAAAATGACAAAGATGATAGTTACTGCTCCAGCTGGTGGTTAAATTTCCACACGATAACGTAACCATGGATGGTTTATTATGTAATTAATTAACAACCTTCTCATCTCTTAATAACCTACTCTCAAATAGTTCTAGTGAGGTCTAGGGTTTTAAGCACAATATCTTCAACCTTTTACTTTATGCGAAACCATATCCAATTATCTGTATACTTCATAACCAACTTTCTAATGATAACCACCATGACCCAATTCCTCTGTGAAACGTTACCAACATAAAAGTTGATAATGGTCCCCTACATCACCCCAAGATGCACCACAGACATGTGTCACTAGATAACACACGTAGCATCCAACATGTGGCACACCAATCAGCACCACCCCGTATTACTTTTGGTGTGAACTCTAACATGAAAAGGTAAACGGATAATGGTAAACCCTCCAATTTTGAGGCGTTTGAAAAATCAAAGAGATGAATAGGTAGAGATTTATGTGTATAATAAATTAAATTGACCAAGACCAAGGCTGTTTCATCATGAATTGTATTTAGTGGGTGCAATGAAAGAAAAAAAAAAAAAAAGAGGGTGTGGTGGAAGAGCATAGAAGGTTTGTAAATGAGAGGGGAAGCACCAATTATTTAATCTAGGAATGAATGGAAGGGTAGAGTTGGAGACAAACATAGTTACGTATGCTTTTATAAAAATGGCAAAGACTATGGATGGGTAACATTGGTTCACGCTTAACCTTATAATAATATTATTATTCGTTTCTTAATCTTATGATTTTGTTCCAAAGCTCAGGCGTGCGTCCGAGGGACCCGACATTGGTGCTCGTCGTTTTCTTCTCTTGTCCTTTCCATTGGCGGCTTCTTCTTTTAACACCTTTTCAACCCATAATTGGATTTCATTTTACTTCATTCATCTACAACTTCTTTTCTTTCACTTGGATTTTTAAGTAAATCATCGACGTTTTAATCTATTATGATTTTTCCAGTAACGAAATTGGTCTAGATTTTGAGTACATCATCTTCTTATTTTATTCTTATTATATTATGTTTTTATTTATTAAAAACGAAAATTTTTCAATTTTACGTACGTTATGGTAATATTATTAACAATTTACTATCATATTTTATTTTATATTTTTTATAATAATAGTTTTTTCAATTTTATGTCTGTTATAATAATATTATTAAAGATTTATTATCTTGTTCTAATTAAGAATGAGGGTATTTTGATTTTAAACTTATTATGATAATATCTTAAATAATTATTATTATATTAGAGGTATTATCTATTTTAAAATTATAATTTATCACAATTTTATTTTTAAATATATAAATGGATTAAAAAAGTATATATATATATATATATATATATATATATATATATATATATATATATATAAACATACATGTGATTTTGACTCTTAACCAATGATTAAGAAAATATATTTTAATTTTGTTCTAAATTAATTAACTGTTTGTAATTCTATTTCTACTAAAAAGTTTTCAAAGACTATTTGACTGGCATGATAAAAATAGAAGAGATCTCAATAAAAATATCATAAATTAGGAGTAAAATACGTATTAATTTCATCCTAATGATTAAAATAATGAAGATTGTCATCAATGACGATTGTAGTTAATAATATAAGGGCTATATGAAATGGTATTATTATCAATGATAATTACAACAACCACAATATGTAATAATAACAATGATAATAATAAAAGTTGTGTAATAGAAACAGTGATAATAAAATAAGGATAGTAATGATGAAATTAGTAAAATATATTTATACTTTTATATTATTATGTTTATAGACCAACGTTTTAAAAAAATTAATATTAATATAGACTAAATCATTTTAAATTAATTTGAGAAAAATAGCTTATGAAATCATTGCTAAATTACTTATATATAAAACAAATAATTAACCTTTATAATAATAAATTGGAAAAAAGTATAAATTTAAATAGATGATAATATTATAAATATTACATTTTAGTTATGTTTGTATTTTTATTTTCACTATTTTGCAACGAATATTTCAGACTTTTTTTTCTTGAATTAACTCTTAAAAATCTGTATATATAATTCATTAGAATATACAATCCGTCGTTACTCAAAGATTTATCTTCAGTCAGTATATTATTATTATTATTATACGAATCATTTTAAAAATCATGAAAAATAAAATTGACAAAATTTTAAAATTACAAATTAAATTTACATGAACCCATATTTAAACGTGTTTTTCGTCATCTTCAAAACTCCACTTCAATTAGTCCTATGAAAATAGTATTCAATGTGCACTCGTTCAACAATCTTGTTTATAAAAACCTGTTTAAAAATAATTAATTTAGTGAATAATTAAATTGATAATTTATATAAAAAAATTATTTAACCATAAAAACTAAAAAATATATTTAAATCTAATTAATTCTACATACCAATAAATTTTTGATAGGAGAAAGAAGGGTGCATGGATGATACATTTTCTAATGACATAGCAAGAAAAATGAGACCAGAAGCTGCTTCAAATTCAGCATTTTCCACTGTGATTCTCACTCAATGGGTAACAAAAAGTCAACATTTGCATGCCAAAAACATGACATATTTGACAGTATGATCATGTGTTTTCTTTTATTTGTCTAATTAATCCAAATTCTGTAATATACGTCTAACTATACTCAATACAAGAATGATGAATTTTATTTAAAACTGGCATTGAAGAAAATGATAAAAAAAATTAAAAATATTTATACTCACGTCTTCAATGATGTATATCATTTTTAAGTAATATTTTTAATTAAAATATAGTTCATTTTTTATTAAAACTTTTTAAAAATAAAAATTATTTATTTTAATTTATTTATTTTTAAGTTATTTGATGAAATAATTAAAAAATGTAATCACTTATCATATTACATAAAATTTTATTTTATAAAAAATTATTTCAAGTAATTAATATTTTATTTAATCATTTTAATTAGTATGCCAGATATACTCTAAACACTCAAATAATTTTATCCTTAGTCGAAAATTTTAAGACAAAAAAATTTATGATAAACATGAAATCTTGTTTAAAGGATCAAAGGTTTGATTTATATCATTTGAACTAACGCCATTTTAACAAGCATAATATAAGACAATATATTTTTTTATTTAATATAATAATAATTGTAATATATTTTTTTAAATAACTTTAAGAATATCAAATTGTCACAATTCATACGTCTCGGATTAAAATACAAGATTTATAAGGAGTCACATCGTGATTATCTCCTTTGTCATTAATTAATGTCTAATTTTATTTTATTTTTTTACCTTTCTCTTTCTCTCACTCTCTATATTTATATGGGTAAACAAAATTAGATGGTCACACTTTTATAAACATCATTGCAATTTCAACTTCTTTTTTTCCTGAGGAAAATTTTTCCTTTTCTTAATGTTTGTGTCAATTGATTCTTTATCTATATTTTTACAATTAGATATGTATGGAGTAAAATATTATTTAGTTCTTAAAACATAATTAGTAAGAATAATTAAATCTCAAAGGAGTCTCCGAGGCATCTATAATTTGTTCTAAAAATAATATAAATATCAATTTAATCCTTAATAATAAGATTAACATTATTTTGATTCTTTAATCATAAAATTTTTAGATTAAATTAATCTTCCGATGAGCGAAAATGATACCATTTGAGTCTTTTACGAGGTTTTCATTAGAAACAAACAACACTATTTTTTTCTTCGTTCTATTTAGATTTTGGATTACTTAATAATAAATTTAATATATGAAATTGGATCTCACTGTATATATACATATAAGGATATTTTGTCAATAAAATTAAAAAAAATACAAATAAGAGGAAAAATATGTTTTTCTTGCTACAAATTAATTAAATCTTTTTTATTTTTTAAATGTTATTTTTTATTTTCCTTTGAAATCTAAAATGTATTGTATTAAAATATATTAACAGATTATGATGTAATTAATAAAATGTCATTTTATATAAGTTAGTATAATGTAATATTTTGTTATATATTTATGTCTATGGTTGATTATGAATAAGAAAATCTTATATTACTAATGGATATGGAGCGTAAAAAAGTGATTATCAATAGAAATTATCGATAGATTTAGAATAATTGTGAAATTTGGTCTTATCGAAATATTAAGGAATTCTATATTTCTAAATAAATGTCTAATTATACATTAAAAGAAAAAGAATGACCACTAGATTCGTTTTAGTTATATCAATTGTATATGAATAAATGGATTGTTTATTTCATTTCAGCAAAAACAAAAAAAAGAAAATTTTCTTTTTTGTTAGAGAAAGTCTGTATCTGTTTGCTTTAAGGAAAAAAAAGCAAAGAATCGACCATTCGAGTATTCAAAATTGTATGAAAAAAGAATAGAAGTAGGTACATAGAATATAAGTAAATATGTGGTCTATATCTGTGTATATTGAATTTTTAATCTATAGATAATAGAATCAGTTCTGATTCAAGCAAATAAATAAAGGTATTGAGTATAGATGAAATAAAATCAATAAAATAGGAGAAAGGCTTTTTTAATATTTAATATAATAATATGTATTTAATGAATTCGAAAGTTGCCGCAGAATTATCATAATAGAAATGAGAAAAAAAAAAGCATTCTAATGAGATTAAAAAAAAAAGATGGGGATATGGCGAAATTGGTAGACGCTACGGACTTAATTGGATTGAGTCTTGGTATGGAAACTTACCAAGTGATAATTTTCAAATTCAGAGAAACCCTGGAATTCACAATGGGCAATCCTGAGCCAAATCCTGTTTCGCTTATGGGGTCAAATTCATACGTTCTAAGAAGAAATATTTGAATCTCATCGATCTCATAAATATTATACCAAATCTCATCAATCGAATCGTTTTTTCAAGAAATACGAGACATCTAATTCATCCAAGTAAAGCAATTTATTCCTTGATAAGAAAAATAAAAAAACGTGAATGGTGATTAGATTGATGATAAAATAGAATCCTGGGTCTGGAACACTGATTCAATTGATGATAAAGAAAGAGAATTTTTGGTTCAGTTTTCTACCTTAACAACAGAAAAAAGGATTGATCAAATTCTATTGAGTCTGACTCATAGTGATCTTTTATCAAAGAATAACTCTGGTTATCAAATAAGTGAACAACCGGGAGCAATTTCCTTACGATACTTAGTTGACATTCATAAAAAGTATCTAATGATTTATGAATTCAATACATCCTGTTTAGTAGCAAGACGTATATTCCTTGCTAATTATCAGACAATTACTTATTCACAAACCTTGTGGGGGACTAATAGTTTTTATTTCCCATCTCATGGAAAACCCTTTTCGCTCCGCTTAGCCTTACCTCCCCCTAGTAGGGGTATTTTAGTGATAGGTTCTATAGGAACTGGACGATCCTATTTGGTCAAATACCTAGCGACAAACCCCTATGTTCCTTTTATTACAGTATTTCTAAACAAGTTCATGGATAACAAGCCTAAGGGTTTTCTTATTGATGATAGTGACGATATCGACCGTGGTAAATGAATAATTAATTACCGACAGATATATTCGTCGATAAATCTATCGGTAAATGAATAATTAATTACTGACAGATATATCTGTCGGTAAATAAACAAATAATTATTGACGAATATATCTGCCAGTAAATCCATTAATATCGTCGATAATTTTATACTTTTGGTAAATGAACAATTACTTACCGACGGATATATTCGTCGGTAATTTTTTGTTCATTTACCGACAGATTTAAAGTATATTTTAAAAAATCAACATTAAATTTAAAAAATTAAGTATTTAAAATTATATAATAATTACTTAATTTTAAATATATTCTAATAAACACGACACACACTTTCACCGTCGAGCACGCCTCACATTCTACATATAAATATATAACTATATAAATATATATAAATATATCAAAATATATAAATATATTTGTATTTATATTTTTTATATTTATATATTACACGGATATATATATATATATATATATATATATTTAATTGTATATAAATATAATTTATTTATAAATTATTATTAGAAAATCTTAGTGGTCTAATGGTTGAACTATCAACTTCAAATATAAATATAAATAAATAAATACATAATAATAAAATTTCAATTTCGTCAATAATATTTACCTAAACATAATTACCGATGAATTTTTGTCTATCGATAAATACATAAATATGTATTTATTGATAGATTTTCTTAGTTACCCATAGATTTTATCTGTCGAAAAATCTAATTTTTCTTATAGTAAAAAAATTATATATATAATTTTTTTCTTTTCTTTTAATTAATCAAAATATTTTTTTAAAAATTATTATAAATTAAAATTTCAAAATCGCTATAATTTAAATACAATCATGTTATTATAATATATTTCTAAATGAAAACACTATTTTCTTACACAGAATATTAATATTGAAAATGAAGTCTTAATCCTTTCATCTACGAATTGAAGGTTATATTGTAATATTAACAATAAAACCATTAGGTCTTCGTACTATTACTCCTAAACATAATACTAAATGTGATTGGAGAGGAGTGAATGGTGCGCGTTTTATGGCATTAGGAGAGGATGTCTGATTATAGGTTACGACAAGACATCACATAAAATGACATTGTTGATGAACAACATTAATTGATGAAGAAGTAAATTGTATGTAATGTGAATATAATGGATTAATTCAATGTCCAGGCCACATTTTTCTACTCCATTTCTATACCTAACATAAGTATACTTAGTTCTTCTTAAGAGGGGAGAAAATACACGCTTTGCCTTTCAAAGAGGTCAAAAGATTGCAGAGATGAAAAAGGGTCGCAGTTATCGAATATGGACAGTTTAAGTCAAACACGTTTTCAAACACAACAACAATGCAGAGGGCAAAGAAACAAAATATATTATAAACCTTTCCATCACCTTCTATGTGATGATAGATATTTTCATTTTGAAATCTACAAAGTTTATTTCCTTTTCACAATATCTCACATTAAAGTGAGAACAAATTGAGCATGAATTCTATAAAAACCCTGAAAATATACATAGTTCTTGCAAAAAAATGATTTTTTAAGTTCTCTCTCTCAAACAAACTATAATATTTTGGAAGTGATATTCAGCTGATAAGGTTTAAGAAATGAATTAATTTGGATATTTTTGGATTAATTGTCTTGTCTTGCGAGGAGTAGAGATATGAGAGGAGGAGTACACCGTCCAAAAAGGAAATGTCAACCCCATGAATCCTGAAAACCCGGCTATCTTTTTGACAAAAGCACCATCAAACTATGGATGCTGTCACTCTCCTTCAACCCAAATATTCCTTCTGACACGGATCCCAATAACGCATTAACCATTATTATAATCTACTAACTATCTTATAAATTCTGCTAATTATTACTTAACCAGATCATTTTTCAACATTTTTTTCTCACTTCACAAGTTCTTGTTTCGTGTAATCAATCATACGCATGAATTGCCACTTACTGAAAGTACAAGTTTCTTGCGCAACCAGTGCTGTGTCAGCGACTTAGTTCACCCATCTGTTAATTATAAAATCATAAGATGGGATTAGGTGTGTTTTTCTGACATTTGGCGACGATGAAACGAACAAATTTGCATAAACTAAAATGAACTCTAATGATACATTTTGGGAATTGAATACCCATCCCTATGACTTTTCTTCCATATTCTTTGATGAATGCATGTCATGCAAATTGCCTACATTTTCGTCTTTGGCATTCTCTCCCTATTCTTCCGTCTTGTTCGTTATCTCTTCACTAATTTGCTGCACTTTCCATGAGAACATCGCACAATTCGAAAACCGTTTCTAGTGTGATCTAAAAAACGTGGACGATAATAGTGAAGGAAAAATCAAAGCTCGACTAAAATTACTACAATAATGCTAATGAACCTGTAATGGGTAGTGACCAGTTTTGGTGGGGGTTGACCATCGTGGCTGTTCTAATTTTTCTAATTGCTCGCAGAGGGATCGTATCTGGTGGGCGTAGCACGTGTCAAACACTAATTAGATAACTATGATCCAACTTAATAACATGTTATTTCTTAATTGAATTTTTGTGTTCTAGTTTCCTTGTGGGGAGTAGGAAAATGATGCCAAAGGGGTATCTTTAGAGTTGTGTCTCTTTTGTTGGAAACCCCTTTTCACACTCTGACCCTAACACTTGATCACTGTTGTTTTTATGACTTTGTTTATGCTGCCAACACTTCATGTTTTTGTGTAAAGCTTCTTAAGAGCGTGTTGAACTTAAGTTCATTTTCACCAGGATTCTTCGTTTTAACTGCGATCGAGTGTGATCCATGTTGGGGAGAGTTGTTAGCGTAAATTAAATTATAAGGAACATTCTTGAAACAGACAAATTGAGTTTGAAAATATATATGTATGCTTGAAACTCATTATTTACGGAAATGTTTATTCTTCTTCCACTCACTAGGAAACTTATTCCTGTGCATCTAAAGTTCTCATGCTTTAGGAATCGTGAAATTAGAAATAATCTATATAAGTCTTCCTTCTTTAACTCATTAAAATATTTTGTACACACAAAATTCCGACCAAATTATCCAACTTTATAATCGATAATACCTCCTCATATACTAATTAATACTTGAGATTTTATTTTTAAATGACAATATTTATAAAGTTTTGAAATTTCACACAAATATCTATTCTGTTAATTTTAATATATCTTAAAATAAAATTGGGTTGATGGTTATGAAACTTTTTAGATAATAATAATATATTGAAAATGGGAATAGTAATGATAAAAGAAAAGATAGATAATAATTATTATATATAAATAATTTGATGATGACGATTATTATTATAATTGTGATATAAGTAAAATAATAATAATAATAATAATAATAATAATAATAATAATAATAATAATAATAATAATAATAATAATAGGAGTACAAGGTCTATAATGATATATATTTTTAATTATATATTAACTTTGTATATTTTTTCATTTTATTTTTATTGATAAATTGAGATTATTATTTTATTTTATACTTTTGAGAAATAAATATTACATATAATTAAAAGTAATAGTTGTTATTAATGGGTTAAATTTATAAACTATATCAAATGATTTTTTTATTCATGTATTTAAAATATTCTTCCTTTTTACAAGATAAGAAAACAATATAATAACTCAAAATATAAAGAAATAACTAAAACTCAGTATGTTAGTAAAAAACGTAAATGTATATACATTTTAAGATGAAAACACTTTTTTTGGTTAATGATAGATAATATCCCTAGACTTACAACATTTTGGCTAATAGACCAAAATATTAAAATTAAATAAATTATGAATATAAAGTAATATATTTAAATATACAAGTAAATTCAATAAAATTTAATTAATAAATTATTCATTTGAAAATAAAGTTAACATTGTCATGTTCATAGAAATTCATTTAAACTTAAAAAAGTTTATTGAAGATAATTTACAAATAAATAAAAAATTATACTTTGAACTGGGCGTAACGAAAATGCGAGAGGTAAAGAAATCCAACGATTTCATGCATTCTAATATGAAAAAAAATTGGGAACAAATTTTATATTCTCTTATTTAAAAAAAATGGAAAATAAAATATTTGGATGAAAAAAATTAATATAATCATTATATAAGAAAATATTATCTATAAATAAATAATTTTATTTATATTATATTATAATAATCTTATAAAATTGGTTTATGAAGATGAGATTGTATTTATGTATATATATAATGTTATTATATTGAAGATGATATTTTTTATCACACTTTTTCGTATAAAGTTATCAACGTGGATATCAATTAAAGAATTTATTATTTTCAAATATTTTTTCAAATGTATAAAATACACTCTATGAATTAAATATAATAGATAAGAAGATTAATAAATAATTTATATGCCATCAAATAGTGTTCACCTTTATTTTCTTATCAGTTTATGCTCTGATGTGATGGAGGTACAGTGATATGCTCGGAACTTAGTGATAAAGGGAAATCATTGCCCTTACTAGACTGTTCTGAGAATGATTCAATTAAAAAAAAAAAAAAAGTTTCATTGGTTACAGTGGTTAGTCATTAATTTTTAATGGGAATTATCAATCCACTGAGTGTTATACAAAAATAAACACATGATGAAGCTTCTAACATTATTGTAGCATGACATGAAAAACCGAGGAAAAAGAGTTTCTAGAAATGCAACATTCGTTTTAAATTAGATTGGAGGAAGTGGGTGTGGAAGAATAGGGAAACCAAGAACATTCTAAAATCAAAATTGATGAATAACAAGAAGAACCAATGAAGCATCAATTTTATGGAATCCCATTTTCTTTCTGAGAGCAACTAATGCGACTTAAAAGAAACCCCTACCTACCTACCTATATTATTTAACCAAACTAGATCTACCTCTTCAATCTTCTTACAATTAATATCTACATTAAATTATCTTCTGCTTTTTTTATACCCTGTGTACGGATTCATGTTTCTTTTTTTGAAGTAACTATTTGTTTAAAATATATGAAACCTGAGAGACAGAACTAAACAAGAAAGTAGCATAACATAGTAGACGTTCAAACGTTACATCTGATGCCACTTGATTGTTGTGTAATAAAATTAATGTCGTTGATGTGTATACGTATCATCATAATCACGGATTATATTAGTATACTAAAACAAATACTTATATTTATATAATATAAATGATGAAACAACATGAATCTAGATTCGACGCACCCAGCAATACAGCTTGTTCTTCAGACTTTGCAATCTTATCCCGAGAAAATGATTTGTGAAATCTAATTCGAGCAAAATGGTGGAATGAAGGGAATAATGCATCGTTCTTTTTCCCAATGACATTAAAAATTCCACGTTGCGAACAGATAATAATCATAGGGTGGCCCATAACAAAACTTAATTTAGGCATACGAAGCATATAAAATCTGAGCTCGTGGCAATATTTTATGAGATATGTCACCGTTCCCCAACATCTAATACATGTCGATGTTCAATGAAATTCCAGAATTTTTTCCCACCCACTTTCTATTTTGGTTATATAATAATATCTAAGAACAATTAGCACTAAAAAATTCTCTTCATTTTTTATTTTAAGCTTAGGAAGCAGCCCTTAGTCCTACTGATTTTCTGGATGGACGAGGGAAGGATAATTTTTCCAAAATTTTGTAATTTATATTATTATTTATGATTTTATTTTTAAAATTCAATAATTATTTTTAAAGTTTTGTAATTTATATAATATTTTAAAACTTAATGATTATTATAGGACACTGGTATTGTAAAAATGTAATTGATTTTTATATGGATCACAAGGGTTTATTTATTATGTAACTCCATTCTTTTATCTCCCCTCTATTTGTGTTGAGAAAGTGCCATTATTGGCACGTTTCACCTTGTTTCTTTTTTGTTTGAAAGGGGGAGAAAAGGGAAAATAGCACTTTCTTTTGTTTCTTGCTACTATTTTTCTAATGTTGTAAACAGTGAAATCCATGAGGTTAGATTTAATTAGGGTTTTATCATTTGGGACCAAAGTAGAAAATGTAAAGTGGAATTACTTTAAGATCTATATTTGAGGTGGTCCAATCCAATTGACTGCTACCAATGTACTACTAGCATGGTGTCATTAATGGTGGCATTTTCACTAATTAAAGCAATTAAATTTAACAATTCAATTAATTCAGTCTATACTCCCATACCCCCATACTTTATTTGGAAAGGAATCAAATCTAGGTATTATTTTTTCCCAAAAAAGAAAACAAATGTATAGGATCCAATAATGGAGTTTCTAGTTATAATTACAAGTTACTTGGACTGAACATTGGATATTTAAATACTAAAAGTTTATTATATATGTTCCAAAAAATAGTAAATTTGATCATGAAAAATTAGTACTTCAATCTAGCCTCGGTTAGAAAAATATAAACAATTTGAACTTCAATGAAGTTAGGGAGATATCATACACAAAATTCTCAAATGAAAATAATAAAATAACTTTAACCAGATTTAGTATCAGATGGTGTTCCCTCACAGATCTAATTATCAAAATTCAAAGGAATAAATAGAAAAATTAATGTAGCCGTCCTACTAATAGCACCAATAGAAGAAACTTGGTTTGAATTTACAAAGATGTTAGATTTTAATTTTTTTTTTCATTAAGAGAATGAAATGAGATCATAGACCGTAGTGTGTTAATGCACATGCACTGCCCCAGATTGTTTTGCCTGAACTGCTTGGTAACATTTGATAGTACCCCAAAATTTATTATAGTTTGAATACAAATAATCAGATTTCTTAAATAATATTTTAATAATCTAATAAAAGAACCGTTATTAAAAAAATCCCCTATATATCAATGAAAAATAAAAATAAAGATTTAATTTTCATCTTAATTATTTTTTAATTTATTTATTTAAAGTAACAATTTATCTTAGTAAGTAGATTATGAGAAAATAAATAATACAAATAAAAATAAAAAATAAATTTTTTAATTTTATTTTTCTTTTAAATTTTGTTAAATTAAATATTAATTTTTTTTCAATCAAATTCTGTACATTATAAGTTATTGTTCTTAATTATTTTAAATACATTTTATTTAAATGAAAAGATACTGATCGTGTAATTTACAAGATATTGACTAATTTTAAAGAGCTTAAATTGTTCTAGTCTTTTCTTTTGTACACAGACTGCATTTTCATGGAAGGGAATAGGAATATTATACAAAAAAATTAAATTATTGGCCCCACTATTAAATTATAATTGGCCCCACTATTAAATTATAATAAATTATAAAAATTAAAGCAGCACTTAATTACATATTGAACTTTTTCTGGTTATTTAATTGTGATACAGGAGAGGAATAAGCATTTAGAATCCTAGGGGTGGAAAAGTCATTCGGGAATATCTGGAAACATAAATTTATGAAGAAAACCAGAGATAGAGGATCTCTTAACAACCTCAATATTCACTTGAACTTTATATAAATGAAAAATATTTTTTTTATGAAGAAATAAAATTTAATTAAAATAAGCATCTTTATTCTTTCTACTTGTTTATTTAACTTTTTTTTATTTAATTTTTGGATTATACTTTTGGGCGTAATTTATTTCTGATAGCAAATAAACCCTTAAACTATTTAATCTTCGTCAAATTAGAAGTAGGAAAACATTTCTAAATAAATTATACGCCAAACAACACTTCAATTGTTTTATTTTAAAGTTACAATTTTTCAGTCATAGTAATTGACACAAATAATAAAAACCAAGACAAGAGAAACATCTTGAAAGTAGATCAGAATATCATTCAGTTTCCGCATCTCAAAATTAATAACTAATATATAAATTTTACTATTCGTTACTCTAAGGACAACAATTTAATAAATAATATATAATAAATAGTTTTTGTTAAAAATGATAAAATATATTTATAAAATTAATATTGATTAAGCATCGTGTACAAAATGGGCTGCAAAATATTATCATGAGCACGTAACAGCTGATAGAGTTACAGGGCGCACGCGCGCACACAACGAAGCCGGAAAAGTCAAACTATAGCGTCAAACTTCGTAGCCTTTTCTTACTTACAAGCCATAATAATTATTATTTTCCTCCTAATTCTCGTTTAAGTTTTCGTTAATTAAATCATTATCTTCTTACTACTTCTTCACCTTACTTTCTTCTTTCTCTCTCTCATCATCCCTTCCAACTCTATCGTTTTCTCCTTACTTTCTTTTATTTATTTTCATTTTCAAAACTCCATCCTTGAATATCTATATAAAGCCCCCACCCTTCTTTATCCTCTTCGTAATAAGCCAAAACCCTCTTTCTCTCTCTCCCTCTCTCTCTCTCTCTCTCTTGATTTCTTTACCTCTTCAACTCAACCATACTTCTTAGATCAAAAGCTATCTTTGTTGTTGCTTTGGGTTCGAATCAATCAATCAATCAAAGTTATATATCCAGGTGGGTGTGTGACTCATGGAAGTGAAAGGAAGGGTAAGCACCACAACCACCACAATCCAAAGTGATGATGAGATGGACCTTCGAAGAGGTCCTTGGACCGTCGACGAAGACCTTGCTCTCATCAATTACATTGCCAATAACGGAGAAGGTCGATGGAATTCCCTTGCTCGTTCAGCTGGTAACATAACATAACATAACACTTTCTTTCTTTCTTATAATTTTCATACCAATATAATATGTACCATATACCATAGATATTCGAAGGGTACTACTACTAGTGATGTACACATATTTCATGATTGCAATTGTTGACACCGAAATTAGTTCCACTATTTTCTTCAAACACTGGCTCTCTCTATCTTCCACACCTCTATGATTATGAAAAGGCCTTCGCTTCTCGTCCCGTTTCATCACCAATCAATTTCTTGGGTGGAAAAGCCAAAGTTTGCGGTTTTCTAATATATATATATATATATATATATATATGTGGAGAAGGGCATCATGATATGGTGGTGGATTATTTCGGGTAGAACTTTATAATGGCATATACTACTTGGTGGTGGGTCATAAAAATGAAATATGTAATTATAGCTTGTCGATAGTTGCTTGGCCGCATTCCCATTTGCGAAAATGGAAAAAGGAGTTGTGAAATGATACCACAGCTAAACATCACATACACAAAAAGGAAAAACAAAATGCTCTTTCTTTATTTCCTTCATTATAGTACCATTTTGCTTCCTCGAAACTTTACCAATTCAAGCAATTTCTTTTGTTACAGGACTCAAACGAACTGGCAAGAGCTGCAGATTGAGATGGTTGAATTATCTTCGTCCCGATGTTCGACGTGGCAACATCACTCTTGAAGAACAGCTTCTTATTCTCGAGCTCCATGGTCGCTGGGGAAACCGGTAAGCAAAAAACTTAATATTCTTTCTTATCATACATACTTATTATAACACATCACTTTTTCTATTTATTGGTTTTTCTTTCCCTTTCTATCTTATTTATATGCATAAACACCATATGCATTCATCATTTTTCAAAACTAAATATGCATGCAACCAAACATATGCCACTTTTGTAATTGAGTTATTCATCGTGGTTTTATATTTTTCAGATTTTGATGATTGTTTGATTTTTCTATTGATTCATCAGATGGTCTAAAATTGCTCAATATTTGCCTGGAAGAACTGATAATGAGATCAAGAATTATTGGAGAACTCGTGTTCAAAAGCACGCCAAACAACTCAAATGTGACGTGAATAGCAAGCAATTCAAGGATGCCATGCGCTACCTTTGGATGCCGAGGCTGGTGGAGCGCATTCAAGCCGCCGCCGCCACCGCCGCAACAGCTGGTTCTCCAACGGCTTCTGCCAGTGCTACTACAACCATCACCACCACCAACAACAACAATAATACAACATACAACTACGACAACAACCTTAACAGTTTTGAGGCGCATAGTGGGAACATGATGTTGAGTCCAGCAATTATGAACAACAACTTTGGCGGTTCACGAAGTTACACTCCAGAGAATAGTAGCACGGGTGCATCGTCAGACTCGTTTGGGACTCAGGTTTCACCTGTCTCGGAGTTGACTCAGGATTACTACAATAATGTAACGGCTGGTAACAACAACAATAACCCTAATCCTGATTACTACCAACAAGCACATGATCAACTCAGCTTTTTGGACTGCATCACAAGCCCATCAGGGTTGTTCTCTCAGCAGCTGGATTTCCAATCCATGGAACCAAACACCCCGTGGATTCCGACTAATGGGGACACATCCAACGGTTTCTGGAACGTTGAAAACATGTTTCTGTTCCAACAACTCACTGACAACATGTGAAACATTAGCAGCAGAAGTAATGGTGAAGGGGACTTTACATAAGGGAGAAAAAAACAGAAGGGGCAATATTGTCAAATTTACAGGTGATAAAATTATATAAGTGTAGCTAGAAAGATGAGCAAGCAAATAGAATAAATTCATATGTAGGACACACACTTAGGATCCACGATGGACATAGATTTTAAACTAAGGATATTTTAAGAGCAAAGTAAGGAAAATGTGAATTACTTTTCAGGTTTAATTTGTACCAACTTTTTTTTTTTGTTCTTTAATTTTCCTTATTTCAGAGGGGGTGTGGGGAATATTTGTATTTTGAGCTTTCTTTATATATAAGATTTCATTCTTTGAAATTATTAATCTTGTTCTGCTTTAATTTAGTTTTGATTACGGCCATCTTAATTCCCTAGAAAAGGTAGCTAGGTAGAGATGAGTAGTAGTGAGTGCATTATGGATGCATGATGGTAGAAATAAATTAAATTATATGATACCCTAAAGACGTGTGCATAATTGATTCCACACATAGCCGAAGCCTTTTGTGATTTGTCAAATTGGTATTAAAAGTATTATTTATTGTAGAAGTAATAAGTAATCCCACTTGAAAAACCATGTCCACGGGAGATGAACCAAAGTTGGGAAAGTGCTTCTAGATGGTTAAAAAAGAGGTGGAAAGGAATTGTAATATATTTGGACGTGGTGTTATATTATTGGGACGCAACGTTGAAGTTAGCCCATGGCGACAAAAGATAGAAAAGTTAAAAACATAAGGGTCCATTATTAGAATGGTTAATGATGATAAAGGTTAAATTGGGAGCTAAGTACGATTCCGAGACTCACGCCTTGTTGGATTTCGTACGAACAGAGCTCCACTATCATCCAAAATCACCAACTTTCAGTCCAATCCATGGAATCGAAGATGCCCAGAGGGGTGTTTTCGTAAAATTATGCACTGCACGTGCAGAGTGTAAGTTGCAAAACGTGAAGGAATAGTAGAGAGAGAACCAAGATGTTCGTGGCGGCGGGGAATCTTTGTAGCCCGCGTGCCTCTACCAGAACTCTTCCATGTGGTCCCCTACACCGAGGTGTTTAGAACTTGCCACGTTTCATTATCTTATATTCCAAATAAATAAATCTTACTTTTTTTTTTCTAAAATAACAAAAATTAATTAAAACTAGCTCACATATTCAATTATCTTAATTAGCCTCGACACCACTGTGCCACTTGTAGCCGCAATTTGCACATAGTATTACCATAAACATTCATTTTCCCTTTATTCAGTTTTTCTTTTTCTTTATAATATATTTAACAATTATTCATAAAAAAATAACTTTGAATCCTTATCCTTTTTTTTAATTTAAAATGTTCTTTTATTAAATAAAAATTTCCAACATAAGACTCGTGCATAGACTTTTCTTCAGAATTACGTGTGAACAATCTAAACTAATAACCACGTGCTTGTAAAGAAAACAAGAATGTACTAACAATGGTAAAATATAATGTTTATATTTTATTAAAACTACACAATTATTTTTTAACCAACCAACGTTCTTATAGCGGATGGTGACACACACAGAGACAAAAAAAGGGAGTTTAGTTAATTGGAAAACGTGAGAAATAAGTATTATTTTACTGAAAGAATATTAAGGTCCAAAATAATTAACTGAATAATTGATGAGTCAAGGTAAATAAGAGTCGGCTAGGTGGTTATATTAATCAAGATTAACGAGACATTAGGTAATACTACATGGCTTAGTTTATTGAAATAGTGCAAGATTTTGAGTGCTAGTGTATTGTTTATTGTACATGACAGGAATAATATAAATGTATGATGTTAGATACGTATGAGAAACGTATCCAATAGTAGGGAAGTAGAAGACTTTTTAAGCTTTTATCGTGGAGCCACGTTTGAGTTCTTCCATTGTTGCGTTTGTTGTTCACGATTCTAATGACTTGAGAGTCAATAGGTGGGGCCCACGGATAGCCCACGTGGGCATTGAAGAAGCCAAGCAAAGCTCGCGGGCAGACATGGAAGTAAAGTTTGATTGCAGCATTAAGGTATCTGAAATACTACGTGTGATGATGTTACGCCGCAGAGCATTAACACCTCTTTCGATTTCATTAATTTAAGAAATATTATTTTTATTGTCTTCCATTTTTTCTTAGAATAGTGTATTAGTTATGTAAGAAGTTAAAATTATAAACATTTTTATTTAAGAGTTTAATATTTTTTATTTATAAGAATTTGAAATATGTGGAAATTTTGTATTAATTCATCCTCTATTCCCCTATTCAAATTACATCTTTTAACATTTTAACAAAATAATATGTATGCTTAATATAACTTTTAAGTTAATCATTATAAAAAGTTAACTATTTTATCATATATATGATAGTTTATGATTAAATGCTAAATGATTTGATCCTATAAAAACTAACCCTTTTACAAATGAACTCACATTCTATGAAGATAAAATTATTAAAAGTGTCTGAGGACATTTTTCCAATATTAAGAAAATTTCATTCCTAAAAGCTAAAACAATCACTCGTAATTAGGTTGATCTTGACATTTAATATATTTAGAAAACAGTGAATAAAATACAATAAAAAAAGATGTAAACTGAATGACACTCTGTTTTTATATAAAGGAATAAAAGAAAAAAACTAGTCAACAAAACATTATATAAAATAAAAAATTGTAAAATTTTTAAACATGATAGAGTAAAAATTCTATAAATTAATAATATTTAGTTTATCAAGTTTTATTGTTTTAAATAAGTACTAAGTAAATTAACGATTTTAAATATTTTAAGAAGAACTCTATAATATGTATTTAAAATCATGAGTTAGAAGAATGTGAGATCTTATAATCTCAATTTACATGATAAATGCTTGATGTGAGGAAATTACTCTATAAAATATTAATTATATATATAATACTTATATAAATTAAATATAAAAAATTTATATATATATATATTAAATTGTAATTAATTGACATTATAATTTAAAAACAACGAATTTATCGCAATCAATTTTTTATAAAATATATTGAAGAAGAGTAAAATTTTAATATCGATAATTTTTTATGAATATAATTAAAAGATAAAAGTATAATTAATATCATTTTAAATTTTATAAATGTCAAATATTTAATTATTTTTCATAAAAAATGTATGTAATAATAGTAATATATAGTCTACAGACACAAACTAAATACAAGTAATTATGTTTACTATTAAATTATAATGTTTAACACATATATTTACATAATTTAATTCTAATGAGCTAAATTCATAGAAAATGATCAAAGGTTAGTCATTGATAACTAAAAGGACTCCGTCCATTGTAAATTATTTTCTTAAGAAAAAACATTATTATATTTGTTTCTCTATATATCTCTCTCTATATATATATTATAATATGTGAAAAATTAAATTAATTAATTAATGAAATAAAGAGTAAAGGAACAAGTAAAAAAACCCAAAAAAATATTTGTAGGTATACTCATGTCTCATACTATCGACTTGTTAATCTAAAAATATGAATAAATGACAAAATCAAATTGATATATTTATGAAATACTAAATATCAAAATAATAATCATGCATGGTTTTCAAGTTAAGGGCATTTCAAAAGAAGTCATCGCAACCTTTCACAGCCACAATGCAGCAACAACAGTTAATGGTGATGTCTCTTGTCAACTTTCATAAGCCATTGCCTCAAAATGTAGGGAAGTTCTTTCCTCCCCGTAACAAAGAAAGTGGATGCTTTTGTTGGCTTTTCCACCAAAAGCAAAAACATGTTTTGCAATTAGCATTTAGTTATGATCATACTCTAGCTAATAATAAATCAAACCTCATATGCAAACTATATTCTTGTACATGGAATCAATCTATCTTCAAGATTAAGAAGAAAGGTGTGGTTTAAATGCAATGATTAGAGAAAACTATTGTCTTATGTTAGATTTTGGAAATTCTGATCATGTACTTATCTCATACTCAAACCTTTTCCATTGGTGGTGGGTTTATATTAGACACAAATACTTGTCATGAAATGAATCCAAAAATTTAGGGTTAGGGGTCGAGAAATTAATAATAATTTTAGATGAAAATCGCTTCTTCAGTATATCTATGTTTCCTTATCCAATAGTATTTTTATTTTATTTTATCTTAAATTATTTCTCAATTTTAGTGTCATTTGTCTACATTAATCAATTAAATGGGTAAGACAATGTTTATGATTGTTTTTGAGGAAAATAAAAATACGAATTTTATATTAAAAAAATTATTAGCATAAAAATTAATAAAGGAAATTTTTTATAAATATTACATGAGTTAATCATATAAAAAATTATAATATTATTTTTAACGTAAAAACTCAATCAATTAAGTTATGAATCTTTCTTATTTATAAATTATTTAATTTGTTTATTTTTCTGATGGTAAGACTTTAAATTCACATTAAATTTCCAATAAAATGAAAAAGACAAAAGTAGAAGTGAATAAAAATTTTGCAGAAAAAAGTTATGGTATATTATCCAGATTCTATCTTGTGGTTAGTCAAAAGGGTTGCTTAATGAAGTGAAAAGAAATTCTTTGTTGATATTTAATGTAAAATATATTAATTAATATGGTAAAAGAAAATAAGAAGCATGTTCTTATGCGTGATTAAGTTGGGCATATGGGACACGTTCTTTAGCTGCATAAGATAAGACCGAAAAGAACTTTTATTGCGTGATGAAACTACTCGCTACTCACTATTCAATTGCGTCAATACTTCGTTATCCAATTCTAGTGGTTCTTAAGTTCCCTTAATACTGATTAGGACCATAATTAACTAACCATTTTGATTAGTTTGGCTATATAGATTAATGGATGCTAATTTTATAATATAAAGTAGATAACTCGAGCTGTTACGAAGAGAATTAATGGTCCTAACATCAATCATTATTCTAAAGAAAAAAACACCGCAACTTTTTCAGAAACACTAAAAAACGTTATATATTTTGATTGGCAAGGGTGAATCAAAGTTAAAATTACAGGAGAAAAAAAAAACATTTGTTAGTTTAGGAATCTAATAATTAGGGATGAGATTAAGATTAGTGGTGTTTGACTAGAAAGAAAAGAGGGAAGAAAAAAACACAGTTGATTTGAGAGTGCAGTTTTAGACCTAAAACGCGGGTGAAGTAGCAGATAAAATTGTTAAATATATGGAGATGTGAAGTTGAATCATTGCTTACGTCATAAAACACACTAATCAACCATATTTTCATTCTTAATTCTCACGTGCTTTGAATTATGTACTAACCCTACTCTAAATTCCTCTTTTGCCTAATAATACAAAATACTCCTTCTTATTAAATTCAACCTTTTTTAACCATATTTTCATTATCGAAAATAATTATTAATATTATAAAAAACATAAATAAAAATATTATACTTATATTATAATTTAAAAATATCTAACCGTTGTTTTTTTAAATCTAGAATTTAACAAAGAATTAAACAATAACAAATTGATAATTAATAGAATAAAAGATAATAAAAAGGAGAATGGGCCAGCCCCATGGTCCCAGGCCAGGCCTATGATAGTGGGCCATAAGATTTGTTTTTGTTGGGAGACTTGAAACACTCATTCAACTCCCAATCGTAGCTAGGACTTATTTCACACGTTATTATTTTCATTATATACTATCGGAAAAATAAGCATTTCCTGTCTCTATATTGTTTTAGAGACATATTTAATATTTTAAAAATATTACATGGACACAATTTTTTTTTTTTTTATATTTAACTTTGGTTCTCTTATAAATTTTCCTCGATTTTAATACCTATATTAGAAAATTCGTAATTCAGATCAAATTTCAATTTTAGTTAATTATTTTTTGTTACAATTTTGGTTCTCTTATTTTTATTTTGTCTTTTAATTAATTAATTTTTTTATATGCAAAATAAACTAAATGAAAAACATTTCAAATAAGAAAAATAAATAAAAAGACCAAATCGTGGTTTAGAATTTATTAAAAGAAAAATACAATACAATTTAGCCAATATAAAACATAAAGAAAAAAAGAAAGAGAGAAATTAAAAAATAAAATAAAATAAAATATACAATTGTATTGGTGGTAATTAGTTGGTAAAACATATGTATGAATCATAAGAATATATGATTTTAGTTAGACTCTTATCTTTGATTGTTCTGTAAATCTTATTTTTGGTCTTTGATTCTGAGAAATATCTGCGTAGTGACTTATAATGAAATGATTGATTTTGTTTGTATCATTTTAGAAATCTAACACCTCAATAACATTCTAGAAGTAACTATCATTTTCTTTCCATGAGAAAAAGACAGAACTAAGTTATAAGTCAATAAAATACACTTTTAAATAACCAACTTTAGACCCTCCTGAGAACTCATAATTACATTATTATTATTATTATTATTACTATTATTATTATTATTATTATTATTATTATTATTTAATATAAATTTTATAGTCTTCCAATTTTCTGTATTTACTTATAAACGGCACCTCAATGACTTTTTTATTTTTTTATTTTAAAATTAAAACACTTCATTTATTTTCCTTTTAAGAAATGAAACTAAAAGCATATTATAGAGCTGATAAATTAATAATCTCCAATAGCATTTCACGATAATCTTGAATTTGATATATTTTGAAGAATAGTCTTTATTTTTTATGTTATTTTATTTTATCCCTCGTTAACAACTTTTGACAGGGATATTTGTGAGATGAAAATAAATAAAAACAATATTTTAAAATTCGTTAGTAAATTAATAAAGATATGAAAATAAGTTAAAAAAGTATTTTAAATTTAATTAGGTTAACTAAATTTAATAAAATAATATTTGTATAATATAATAAGAATATAATAAATTTATTATTAATAATATTTAAAATAAATAAAAAATAATAAAAATTATGGTCACCATAAATTATAATAAAAATTATATATATAAAATATATTAGAAAATATTAAATAAATAATTATTAAAATAAAATAAAAATATCATAAAATAATTATTATTTAAAATCGGCCAGATAAAAAAATTAAAATATATTATATTTTTTATATAAAAAATTATTACAAAATTTAATCTTAATATTTTTTTAATTGATTTGATAAAAAAATTCAGTTGATTTTTTAAATTTTATTCTAATTTAATTATTTAAAATAATGAAATAATTTTTAATTCAATAATTGATTAGTCTGATTAAACCAACAGGTATTATTGATTTTCAAAATAAAGATCAGTTATTGTTACCCTATTTAATATATACAACTTAATTTGGACACTGATGAATATGTTTAGTTAGAAAATATTGATTCAAAATTTGAGTAAATATTATTTATCTTATTTTCATTCACAAGTTGCAACATTATTTTGACCCATCTAAGAGCCTTGTGAGTTGAATTAAGTACCAAAATTTCAATGTGTCAATTATGAAAAATCATCTAAGCTTCTAATTTGACCCTCCCAATGTTTGTTTCAGTTCATCCCCAACTTAGCTCAATTATCGCATCAAGTTTTGCTTCTCAGATTGCAACAATATTAATGTTCCCTAATAAACATAAAATTTGCCACCACCATCTTTTGTTCTTGGTTTTCTCCTTCCACCATCATTATTTTTGCAAAAAGTCCAAAATCTGGAAACAAGATTTCGCCTAGGTTTGAAACTTTATGGCATAATGTTTAGAAAAATTATGACCAAATCAATAGCAACATTCTGGAAGGAAGCCAAAGCTCAAAATGTAGCTCCTCTTTAATCATTAGAAAGTTTTGCGTATCTTTCCTAAGTCTAGATTTCACTTAGTAGAACAATTTGTTAAGACTTTAATAATCTGAGACATGTTTTAAATATGCCTATAATACTTAATATGTTTACTTTTGATTAATTATTATTGAGACTTAGTGTGAAGAACGCGTTTCGACTACCTTATGAAGCCCTCAACTCAACTCTCAAACCTGTTCAGATGAAAAATTCATGCTTTTGAATATATATAGCGGTAAAATAGTTTAATATCAGTCTAGGAATGAGATGATTATTACATTAATTCCTTTCCGTAAATATTGTTTCCGTTTGAATTCTGATGAAATATGGTTTGTTCTTAAAAACGTTTTGATAAAAGAATATATATAAATTATCTTTTTTTTTTTTTTACGTTGGTATAAGACTTCTAATGAGTACAAAACTGTATATAAAACGGTCCAACTGAAAACTGATTCCAATGTGGCTTAAGGCCCAACTGAAACAAATTAGGTGTAAAATATTTAGGTGAGGAGAGGATGAAAACAATGTGGCAGTTCGAAAGGCCCATTCCAGCCCAATAGTTAATGGCAATACCCATTTATAAGGATTACTATGGGTAGAGTAGTCCAGTGTTCATCGTTCTACCTATCCATTACCTACTTTTTATTTATGTATCAAGTTAAAAAATTAATTAAAAACGACTACAAAATATCATTTTGGATATGATAATGTGTAGTTCATTTTTATGCTGTGTGTGGTAATACCGAAGGGTTAACTTATACATATACATTAAGTTTATCAATGCTTGGTCAGCCACTCAATTACCTATAATTAGAGTAGGTAAAAGGTTCATGTATTGAAAGTTTTTATAATAAGGGTTTGAGACAAACAAGTTTGGGTACTTATTATTGAAAAAAATATTTATTTCCAGTTAAAAAAGTGGTGTAGTAATATGAAAAAGAATTACATTTGAAGAAGAGATTATTGAAAATTTAAGTGTAAATTGAAATCTTATATTAGATAAAAATAAAAAAGTTATATAATTTATAAGTGAGAAAAATTCATAATTTAATGTATTCAATTTTTAATTTGAAGAAGAAATTATTAAAAATTTAAGTGTAAATTGAAATCTTATATTAAATAGAAATAAAAAAGTTATATAATTTATAAGTGAGAAAAATTCTTAACTTAATGTCTTAAACTTTTAAGTTAAAGGTGAATTATTGTCTCATCTATGAAAATATTTGTATTCAAGATGTGTTAAATTAGTGTGTTTACTTTTATGGGTTAGCAGAACATATTAAATATTTTTGTTTAATCACAAACAAATTTTTATGTTACTATTTAAGCAAGATTCAATACGTTATTTGTTATCAAATTCCATCACTTATTGTGTTTCAACGTAATATTTCATCTCAACGTAATATTTCATCTTAATTAAAAAGAAATATATTTTGTTAGTGTAGAAAATATGATTTCACTCTTAAATAACCCTAACGTATTGGAAATATCTAGCATATATAACGTAACATTAAAAATAAATAAGTGATACCTTGAGTTATTCAACATTGTAAATAGAAATACATAGCGTAATCATTCTTGAATTGAAAATATAAAATATAATTATTTATAAAAGTAAGATACCTGAATTAATATATACATGTAAAATAAGCACATAATATAGGATGAGTACTACATATCAGTCCACTCGTATGATATGACACTCATATATATATATATATATATATATATATATATATATATATATATATATATATATATATATATATATCATAAATGAATATTTATATCACCCATTTACAGATATATTTGGCAGGTAAATGTATAAGTAATTATTTTTTCTCCTTCGAAGGAGACAAAAAATGGCACATGCATGCAATGAAATAACATGAGAAAAATAAAAAATAGAATACAAACGGAATAGAGAAAATAAGTAAAAATTAGAATAACCATTCCATAAATAAAATAGTATTCATAGACATGAGATTATTGTTGTTAAGAATATGTTTATGACAAAGTAAAAGCAAAAAGAAAGAACCTCCAACACAGATTCCTTGGAGGTGAGAAGCAACAGCGGAGTTAATGGGAGGCAATGTTAGGATCCATGAACACAAACTTTTTCTCTCTTGGGTTTTCCTTATGAAGTTAATTTGCAGAGTGTGAGGCAATGCAAAATTTGTTGGGACATTTTGGCAAAGCACATGACAGCACCGTCACAAGCTTTATAGTCTGGTATTGGTGCCACAAAGTGTAGCTTTACTCAAGTTGGGTGCAGTTCCTGAAAAGGTCAATGCGGCGTTCTCCCAGCCTCATCGAGTAGGTGACTTTCTTGTATTCAGCCCAAGTGAAGGGTTTGAAGAGGGAGGGCCTCTGGGGAGTAACCAAAACTGAGGGAGCAACAATGCATGCATCAAGTGGTGGACCCCCAAAATACGCCACCGACATTCTAGACTTGTGTGAGTTTGTCACAGCCCTGTGTCTCACGCTCACAAATCTCCCATTTGTCATAACCTAAACACATAACACAACACATCGATAAGCAAAAATCAATCTCTTCCCGTTTTTGTACCACCTCTAGCACACAAAACCGAAAGCTAGTTCGTCACCAAACCTTAACCTACCTCTCCAACGTTAGTTTTCATTCCATCCAGTTCTTAAGATGCTGTACATAACTACCATGTTGCTTGTCTTATGTAACATCCCATGTGTCTAGGTCTACCCTTTTTTATGTTTAATCACACAATTGGGTCAAGGGAAAGTGGGAGATCCAAATTTCCAAAATCCATTACAACTCAGCATGTACTATGTTACATTACATGTTTTGTGTGTTCGAGTGTGTGTATTTCTGTTTCTCAAACCACAACCCCCGAGTACATTATTTAACTGGTAGCTCTGAGTGGATCTTGAAGTAAATCTTTAGGATATTCTATCCAAAAATTTCAGTCACCTTGTAGTGATTGTTATTCCCATGTCATTTCACTTTTCTTATCAACCAGAAACTTTTTCTTTCAAGATATGTAGAGGTGTGCGTGTTAGTTTGTTTGCCACTCCCATGTGTGAGTGTTAGACCCAACCCAGCCCAACCAGTGCAAACCGAACCCCAGGCCCCCCCTCCTACCCTGAGTATTGTGTTGTGTTCTGGAAAATGAAACCAGGTTGTGGGGCTGGAAAGAAAAATGATGTGTAGGATAAGAACATATATACCTGTAAGAGATCACCCACATTAACACAGAAAGCTGATGGGTCAGGAGCAACTGGGTTCCACACCCCATCTTGAAGAGAGATTTGGAGGCCATCCACGTCGTTGGATCTGAGGATGGTAAGGATCTGAGGGTCAGAATGCTCCCCAAAGCCAACCTTGGTGTGGTTGTGGGAGGGGGACTTGTCCTTATCCTTGCAGTCTTTGTTAAGTGTAGGTGGGTAGTGATTGAACCTCAGGACTGAGTCACTATCGACCTCCCTGATCAACCTGCTCAAAAACCATATATCCGGGACCCCCAGACCCTCTGCCATTAGCTCCAAAATCTCACATGCCAGCTCCCTCACTCCATCTGTGTATGCACTCACAGTAGCGCTGTCATGTACAATTGCACAGTCACACACTCACACCCTAAAAACAGCTATATGTTTTTTCTATTTTTGCTTATCTCTGCTACTTTAACATTTGCCAGAGGACATCCATTCATATCTCATAGTTTCTCTCCAATTTTCTCACTTAAATGCATCATACAACACTCTTCATGTCACCCATTCTCTGAATTATTCAGGACAATAGTTTTTTTAACATAACCGATCATCTCAAATTTATACTCTTAACTTATCTCTTTCATAATAGTTCTACTCGTTGAAAAAAGTTATATGACCTTTAATAAGAACTACTTGACAAAGCCACATAACAGTGAAGTTTTCCCTGTTATATTTCACTTGTGAAATTGGTTGTTTGTGTATTATGAAAATGAATCATCAATAAACTTATTGTTTGGAAATTTCATTTTTCAACTCTGACCTTTTTGGTTTTGATTTGATTGGACGTTGTAGATTTATTTGAGATACATATATGTGTGTGTGAATCTGAAACCCAATGTTTTATTGAACAGAACTTTTTCTGACCTTTCCAATTTGATTGCTCCTTTTTTTTCCGAAGTAATGATAACCATGCATGAGTAAATAAATCACAACCACGCACATATGACATGACAAAGACAGGAATGTCATTAAACTTTGAAGGGTAGAAATAGGTAAAGTGAATCTGACATATAATCCCACCTCCTAGGAGTACCTACTCCTTTACCATACTCCTATGTGCAACATGAATGACTTCAAATCTCACGTGCATCACTAACTTTTTAAGACAATTTTTATCCTCGTAACTCTTTTATAATTAAGGAAAAGAGAAAAAAATAACACTATTAAAATAAATTATAAGATGGTCTAGAACATGGAAAAACACCTTTTCGTCTTCCATGCATAACAAGTGAACAAAGAAAAGATAAATTGTTTACTTTGATATTCTTATTTAATTACATAATATTAATAATCTTGTTTCGATGTGATTTTTCTTTTCTACAATTCACAGTGTTTTTTTCTTCCCTACTTTTATCAAACCAATCATAGCATTCTTGAAGCAATGGTTTTGTTTAAGCGGCAAGAGACCGAGTCTTCTCAAAGCTTGCATTGATATTTGGAGAACGAAAACATAACTGTTCTGTGTTATATTAATTGGATGTTTATATTTTATTAAGTGATTTAAGTTGATTAAAAATTATTTACCAGAATTTTATTTTCTTAATTAACAAATTAAGATTTTTTTGGGTATGTCTATAGACATATTATAACAATGGCACTAAAATATATTGACATACTCTCTTCACCTTGTATTGTTCTCTATCATTTAACGTAATACATTTATTAATTACATAGGTTAATTTGCATAGAGTTCTTTATGAAAATTAATAACAGTTCTCGTGAGATAAGCCAAATATATCGAAATGTTAGGTTTACATTTCTTTCAGAAAAATAAAATAAAATTTGCACGTTTAAAATAATTAACTCAAACATGCATTAATACTTTAAAGCTGTACCCAACTTTCAAGTGTTTAACAACGTTAGTATTATATTATCATTTTTTTCAAATACTAATATAAAAAATATAAAAATATTTCTTTTTTTCATATGGAGAAGTCAGATATATTTGCAATAAGTGATGGTAGAGGACCATATAAAAAAAATACTCGTTACTCACAGTCTGTTTATTTGTTCTTGTAGAGAAAAATAGAAAATAAAAGGTTTATTTTCACGAAACTTAGCAAAATAACGCTGTCTCATTATTGGTAATAAACAGAGGAAAAATAATCTCTCTCATTTCGTTGTTTGTTTTATTTGCTTTAAAAACTAAGTAATGTTGTTTACATCATTGAAAATATAAAGAAAACTATGTTATAATACATTATCCTTTATACTTTTATTTTTCTTCATTCAAATAATAACTTCTCTATATCCATTAGTGCAATCTTTAATAGTTTTATTTTAATTCTGCATGCAGTTATATAGATTCAAAAGGTTATGCAAGAAAAGAAAAACGTAAGAAGAGTATATTTTGCAGTAAGAGTTGGAAACAGAGAGAGGGAGAAGGTGAAATGGAATGATAATGCAGATCTAAGGACCACTAGCAACGTGGTGTTTCTATAAAGAATGGTTGGCACAGTGCCATCACTCACAGAGAGAATAACCTTCAAACCCAAACATAAACACAACACACATTCTCTCTCCCTTCTTTGTTCGTCTTGGTCAGATACAACTCATAGGAAGGTACGTAATTTCAACCCACCAACATAATAAATCGTACACCCTCCATTTTGCATGGAAAGAATACAAATAAAGTAAATGTAATAAGTAATGCAATGAGAAGAAGTAAATATCACTAGTGCAGAATATGGCTTTTACGTCACCCAATTGTCGTCGCATGCACGTATATTCGACGTAAATAAAACGCGGTGGCAATTTTGTAAATACGGGACAAAAAATTTACGTCGCACACCCCAATATGAGACGTAAAAAGTCATCTTTTACGTCGCACCTGGGAGGCGCGACGTAAAAGATGGCCTTTTACGTCGCGTACGGGGGCGCGACGTAAAAGCTAAGGCTTTTACGTCGCGTCCCCGTACGCGACGTAAAAGGCCATCTTTTACGTCGCGCCTCCCGGTGCGACGTAAAGATGACTTTTACGTCGCTTACTACACTGCGCGACGTAAAAAGTCTATTTTATTTCCCTCCTGGCCCACTTCCTCGTCTCGCGCAACCGGGGTTTTTAGAACGACGACGAGAACGACGACAACAGCTACCTCTGCACACCATTTGCGAGCAGTTTTACGGTGAAAAACATCTACATTGTCGTGTCATTTGACGAACTTCATCTTTCTCCCCGATTGGATTCGAGTTTGAAATCGGTTTTCGTCTACACTCGAGGTTAGTGTTCATTGTCATTGCTATATGTTTACATTGAATCCGTGATTGTTTTTGGGGATCTCAATCACGTTATAGTATGAATGTCTCCACTCGGATTGTTATTGGAATGCGGTTATTTGTTTATTTGTTTGAGTGCATTCGGTTTACACACTCCATTGTTGTTGGAACGTGCTTTGTTGTTTGTATATTAATTTTTTTTACATATAATTTTTAAATCTTTAGGAGTGACGAAACTTTATAACATAATATGAATCGAAGTTGGATGAATGCACGTCGTATTAGTGAAGAGTACGAAAAGGGAGTTGAGGAATTTCGAAATTTGCTAGTGAAAATGGAAAAGCTATGAAAGGGACATATTATTGTCCATGTGTTCGTTGTTTGAATCAAATTCGTCATAAACTTGAGGATATACGTGATCACTTGTTTGTTTATGGTATTATTAAGAGTTATACAATATGGACATGGCATGGAGAAATATTAGACATCCCAACTGTGTCAACTACAGACAATTTTGATGAAGGGATGGATGATAATCTAGAGGATATGATACGTGATATTGGTGAAGAACATTTTATGAAAGCACATCTATATGATTCTTTGAAATCTGATTTTGCGCAACAATTGTACATAGGATGTAGTTTTACAAGATTATCAGCAACTTTAAAATTGTTTACTTTAAAAGCAAGAAATGGATGGACTGATAAAAGTTTCACCGAATTATTGGAGTTGTTGAAGGAGATGCTTCTCGAAGATAATACATTACCTATTCGTAACTATGAGGCAAAGAAGATATTATGTCCAATGGGTTTAGAGTACAAGAAAATACATGCATGTCCTAATGATTGTATATTGTACAGAAATGATTTTGCTAAATTAAAGATGTGTCCGACATGTGGTTTGTCGAGGTTCAAAACCAAAGTTGAGGAAAGTAGTGGTGAGGAAGAACTAGATGGTCCCCTGCTAAGGTGTTATGGTATTTGCCAATTATACCTAGGTTTAAAAGATTATTTGCCATAAAAGAAGATGCAAGAAACTTGACATGGCATGCAAATGGTAGAAAATGTGACAATCTTCTTCGACATCCAGCTGATTCTCCACAATGGAAAAGGATTGATGAAACCTTTCCGAATTTGGTGCAGAGCCAAGAAACTTGAGAATTGGATTAGCTACGAGATGGGATGAATCCTTATGGAAATTTAAGTAGTAAACATAGTTCATGGCCAGTTATGTTGATCATTTACAATTTGCCTCCTTGGTTATGCATGAAGAGAAAATATATGATGTTATCTATGATGATTTCGGGACCTCGACAACCAGGAAATGACATAGATGTATATCTTAGTCCTTTAATTGATGATTTGAAGATGTTGTGGGAAACAGGAGTGGATGTATTTGATTCATATCACGAAGTGAATTTCAGAGTTGCGTGCAATGTTATTTTGTACTATAAATGATTTTCCAAGCATATGGTAATTTGAGCGGTTATAGTGTGAAAGGTCATTTAGCGTGTCCTATATGTCAAGAAGACACAAGTTATATCCAATTGAAACATGGACAAAAAACTGCGTACAATAGGCATAGAAAGTTTCTAGTTGCTAACCATCCATATCGTAAAATGAAGAAAGCATTTAATGGATGTCGGGAGAATGCGGTTGCATCGAGTACCACGCAATGGTGAACAAGTATATGAGCAAGTGAAAAATATTAATATTGTGTTTGGAAAGACCCAAAAGAAATCCAATGAGAAAAACATTTGGAAGAAACGATCTGTATTCTTCAATCTTCCTTATTGGTGTAAGTTGGAAGTTAGACACTCGTATAGATGTGATGCATGTTGAAAAAAATGTTTGTGATAGTGTAATTGGGACATTGCTTAACATAAAAGGAAAGACAAAAGATGGAATAAAAGCAAGACAAGATTTGGCGGACATGGGTATACGTTCCGAATTACATCCACAATCAATTGGAAAACGCACTTACTTACCTCCAGACTTGTCATACTCTATCAAAGAAAGAAAAGAGAAGCTTTTGTGAGTGTTTACGTGAGGTCAAAGTGCCACAAGGATACTCCTCAAATGTTAAGAGTCTTGTGTCTATGCAAGAGTTGAA